ATACCTTTTTAATGGTCATATCTGGTAGGGGTCAGAAATGTTAAACGTCTGGCAGTGCCTGACTGTACACCCCATTCAGAGATGAACCTTTCGGAGCCTGGGCCTGGCTGACAGCATACTATAGCGGTAGCTTCATCGTACTTTTGAATCCCTCACATGTCTGTGATCTTATTATGGAAGAAGCTAAGCTCTAGAACAGTTTCTCTGTAGTCTTTTGGGGTATACCTTTGGGAACCTAATGAAAGACATGAGCATTTTCCCCAGAAAATTACTTGTAAATGCAAAATGTTGCCCTAGAGCCTGTTTATTCTTTTGCATATAATAGGGTATAATGATAATGATCCCTCAGGGTTTTGGGGGATGCTGTTATCAGAAACAGAATATTTAAAAGCACTTTATAAATTATAGAGATTATATTTCTACTTTTTTTTTTTTTTTTAGAATGGCTCTTAGTACGACCCCACAGAATAATTTGGCAGAGGAGTTTAAGAGGCCTTTAACTCTGTGCTCACAGTTGCCTATTATGTCCATCTAATAAAAATGGGTAATGGGTCTGAATAAAAGTGTCTCCAAACAAGATATACAAGTGGCCAATAAGGACATAAAATATGCTTGGCATCACTGGTCACTGGAGAAATGCAAATCAAAATTACAAATGAGCCGAAACCGGTTTGGCTGAGTGGATAGAGCGTCGGCCTGCGGACTGAAGGGTCCCGGGTTCGATTCCGGTCAAGGGCATGTACCTGGGTTGCGGGCACATCCCCAGTGGGGGATGTGCAGGGGGCAGCTGATCGATGTTTCTCTCTCATTGATGTTTCTAACTCTCTATCTCTCTCCCTTCCTCTCTGTAAAAAATCAATAAAATATATTTTAAAAAAATTACAAATGAGATACCCCTTAAGAGCTTCTAGTAAAGTGAAAGGCCTCAATCTCCTTATCTGTAAGATAAGGCAGTTAACTAGAGGATCTTATGCTGGTATGTGCCCTTTAAGTTCGTACTTTGGATGGCTGCTCTAACCATACTCTGAATGCTAATTTCAGGTTTATATTTGCCATAGGGTTGATGCCACAAGAGAGTAACCAACACGCAGTTAGTTGGTTGGAGCATTGTCCCATACACCAAAAGGTGGTGGGTTCAATTCCTGGTCAGGGCAGATACCTAGGTTGTGGGTTCAATCTGCTGTCCAGATGCATATGGGAGGCAACCAATCGAGTTTCTCTCTCTCCTCTCTCAAATCAATAAAAATATCCTCAGATGAGAATTAATAAAAAATTAAAATAGAGTAATCTTATAAGGTGTACATTTCATACTGTTTGTGATTGTTTCTTTGGAACTACTAGTATCAGGCAGAAAAACACAGGAACAACCCTTAGACTAATACAAGTGTCTCCAAAGTTGTTATCTCTGCACTCTGGCCCTCTGCATAAGGCCTCACAGTAAATCCTGCATCCTCAGCAAACACTTGCTGAATTGAGTGGTTTGTTCCAAGTGAGTAATAATCACAGCACAAGAAATACTTCCAAACAGGGTAGAGAATTTGATGTTAATACTACTCATGAACAGGAGTTCTGGCAGACATAGGACACAAAAACTTCTCCAAATTCTTTTCTAAGAATACTGTTTTCAGTATGTTACAATGAATTATTCAACTCAGCCACCATAAAATTAGAGCTTTGCTCTCGTTCACACACACATGCCATCACTCCTGCGTGAAGTGGAGATGATAGAACTGGGCATGAAAACCTGCAGCGGCAAGGGCCACGGTATCAATGATGCAGTCACAGGACTGTGGCCCCACCCCCTTCTGAAACCCTTCCCTGGGAACAAGACTCCAGGAAGGAGGCTTTGCTTACTTCAACACTACACTTTAGATGCAAAGTATAAACAAGATAAGTTTAGTTCAAAGAATATCAAATGTATTCAACACTTTATGAACTTTATAACCAAAATATGGAAAACAACACACCAACTCAGCACTCGAGGGATGCCTGTGACCAGCACCATCTCGGTGGGTGGGCAGCTGGTCCGGACGGTACACAGATGCGCATGTGCTGTCCTCACAACCACATGGTGGCTTATCACAAAGTAAAACCTTTATTAACGGAAGAAAATAAAATCTGACCGTGCAGAGCATGGCACTGTCCACCGACCACACAAGCATAAGTAACACACAAGAGTGTATGTATTCAAGTGGCTGAAGGTTCTACCTTCCAGAACCTTCAGTGGGATGGAGCAGCGCTGTCTCTACGTACTGCCCAGACTCCCGAAGCCACAAGCACATCTCGGCTGCTCCTGTGGCTGCAGGTGACAGGTAGCAGCATGCACGGTGGCAGTTCTTTCACGTCTCCAGCAGCCGAGTGTCTGCTTTCCTGAGCCTGGCGCCAGCCAGGGAGCTGGTGCCTCTGTCTCCGAGCCCTGCCCTAGAGCAGCAGGGCGGGTGCATGCTTGACACAGCAAGAGTCTGAAACGTAGGAGCCTGAGTTCACTTCTATCTGTAAGAAGTTCCCTGAATCCAGACAAAAGTTCAAAGGAAGCAAACAAAAACATTTAGTGTGTGTGT